GGTGCAGGGCCTTCGTCATCTTGGAATGTGTCATTTGATGACAATTACGACCCTAGTGAGTACAATTCAGTATTTAGACCTAAGCCAAATTTGTTTTCCTCTGTAGTTTACAATATAGAAGCAAGAGGTTCTATTTATCTATATATGTAGACAGAATCATTAGATTTGACACAGAGAACGTTCTTGTAACTTGTCCTCTGCAAATACGATAGTTTCTATATTAATTTCGAAGTTTGTAGTTCTACGTCGTAGGGAATAAAGTGTCTCAGGATATTCTGGATCCAGAATTAATTGATTCAAGCAATGTATCCTCCAGACTTTCAGAAGCACATGGACATACACCCATGATTCTAGCGGTAATCAAACCCATTACCCCATTGTTCCAGACATAGAAAATAGTCTCTTGACTAAATGTGATGTCAGGTTCTTCCAGCGGTGAGTATAAAGATGGCCGTCCTCTGGGTTCGTGTTCCATGCAGTCTGGCTGTTATTTTGTTATGTTGCAGAAACAGAATATCTGGACCTTCCTGTGCTTAGCCTAATAACTGGCGTTGTCACTGCTCAGTACTTAACTTCGAAACATACTTAGGCCTATCTCTACCATACAAGAGGTCTACGTCACTAATTGCAACCGACGGACTTAGCACGGAACTTGATATGACCAAACCTGCATATCTGATCCATGATTAATCGATTCCAAATAAACTGATTTCATAAATTTTTGTTCCTGTGTCGATCTTATTCTAGGTCTTCCTCTGTGTATTTAAAAATTAAATCCGTGGCGTAACAGCTCCAGAGAGCCAAAACCGACTAGCTTGACTGCTGACCTCACGTTCACATGCCTAAGCAGAGATGAACGATCATCCAACCAGATAAAGGGTGACGTGTGGTCAGCACGACGAACCCCCAGTCATTGCTAGTTTTCCTGACCGGATTACGCTACTCATTGTAGCTCCCCAATTTCCTCACGATGCTGGGTTGGCACCGGTCCCATACACCGGTCGAAAGCTCGTGCGAAAATTCTTCTCCCCCGAGACTCGAACCAGCGCGCATTCTGTATCGCCGCTCAGACCGCGCGAACATTTCTGCTATTTTATTACACGTGTTATGTATTTTGGAATTAATAATTCGTTATTGATGATCTTCCCCATATTTTCATTCGTGAGCCCATGTATTTATTTGTAATTAGTCTCTAATAAGTTTCGTTTTTGGCTTTCCCATGGAATGCAAACGCTTGGGGATGTGTAAATATGATATCTCGGGTACCGATTTAATAGGACGTTTGTTAAAACCAAGTGTCTGTCCGGAAGTGATACTGGAAAAAAGAATCACTCCTATTGAGAAAAATCAAATTTAGAACGTACAGCGCGAAGCTGTCAGTTTACCGAGTTAACTTGTATTAAGTGATGCACAACCTGTATAGGATTTCTTAAAATATTAAGTTGAAACCAAATGTATTTTATTCTCTTCACGATATGATTAATTTTTAGCTGTTTAGGCATCATGCTGTTTTATGAACTGATATTGGACTAGCCTGGCTAACATGAAGTGGAACGAAGGATATTATAATCGTATTTAACTAATACAATATAATTTCTTACAATTTTTTTAAAGTTGTTTGTTTATACATTGTTGTTACCGTCTGAATCTTAAAACCTTGCATACCGTGTAGTGTATTTGAATATAAAATATGCATACAAACAGAACTGATGATGACCTCTTGAGGTCGAAACGCCTTTGGCATTAGTGTCCTTTATAGTGTAAACAGTTCTGTTTGTAAGCATATTTTATATACCGACTGTACTTTTTATTTCCTACAGGATTTGAGACTTTCGCGACGAGTACAATCAATAAAATCTGCTCGAGCAATCAACCGCGTCAACTGGTTACCGTAGTAAACAGACGTTTCGGGAACCAACCCCGATGATGGGGAGAGAGTTGGTTCCCGAAACGTCGGTTTACTACGGTAATCAGTTGACGCGGCTGATTGCCCGAGAAGATTGTGTTGATTATTATTTCCTGACGCATACTAAACTATAAAATCTAGTTCAATTTCCTTAAAATAATGTTCGATTTGCTGTGTCAGGTCACATACTAGGGGTGGACATCAAGGAGTGTGTGAACTGTGGCGCAAGCGTGACGCCCCTGTGGAGGCGTGACGGCACTGGTCACTATCTTTGTAATGCGTGTGGTCTATACAACAAAATCAACGGGGTGAACAGACCACCAGTCCGGAGCCACACCAAGAAAGTCAATTCGGTGAGTCAGTCTCGAACCCGTGCCATGTGTTAAAGTGGCGAACTTGATCTTCCTATTAAATAGACCATTAAGTTATGCTCTAGCCTTGTAAAGAAACAAACGACTGTTGATACAATTTGTTTGCGTACCGAGGAAACTTGTTTGCTTCTTACTTCAAATGCATTTGCCTGTTATGAACAAAATACACGCAGGCTATATTCCGACGTTGAATACTCAGATTTGAATTCCTTTTTATACAACACTATAACCGCCTTTAACGATGATATTTTGTAAATGTAAATTCTGTGCTATTTTTAAAGAAATCTTATTCTGTTAGCACATTCCACGTCAATAAAATAAAATTTAACCTTTTGAGAATTATGTGAATGGTTAATTAGAATTATGGCACTTTTTTGCTGATTCTTTCCTACTAAATAGGCTTAAATCGTAACCAAGATACATTGTTTATAGGCGAGTAGGCTTGTATCTTGCATTGGACAGAAAGTGTGCATCCAAAACAACGGAGAGACGACATTGTGTCTTTTACACAATGTGAAATTAGTAGTTATAAACTGCCAAAACTTTTCTAATTTTACATAAGAATGGAACATTTGTTTGTTTCAAAATGGTGCACTGCATATTTACTAGATTATTCACACTTCCCTAAAATATCTTTTTTAAAATTCATAAAGTCAGAATTTATATTTAACTTTAAAATGGAAACCAACAAATCTTAGATGCATAGAATATTCCGTGATTATGTGGCGATTTTCGGAAGTGCCGTTCTTTGGTAAAGTGCTTAAAAGTAAATCTTATACAGGTCCAAAAAGCGTATGATATATTTTCATGCAGTACTAACACAAGTAACAGAAGCCTAGGAACGATATGTGCAAGGATTGTAACAAACCGACGAAGATCGTCGGGACACCAATAGTCACTACGCCGCAAAGACACCGTACTTAGCGAAGATAAGCCTCGCGATGTCATTGGACACGACGTTGTATGAGCGATGCCGGTCGCCGCAACGTTAGACGTTGAGACGTTTACTATGAACTGCAAATGAAGTGAACAGAAGCCTCTGGAAACCTTATGACGGATGCTAGCAAACCGAAGTCAAGCGCCACGACGCTTGGAAACGCATGCCGAGCGCCGCGACGTACATCCCGAGGAAGTGGCGTTAATGGACACAAAGTAGAAAAACCGATCCCGAGTGTTGCAACGGCTACGAAAGACGCCACATTCACAGGATGCCACTGGAGAAAAAACGAATATAAGCGTCGCTCCAGCACTATGTGCTTACACGTCAAACTGAATGATTTCTTTGAGAGCAGACTCCAGTCTGAGCTACCTCTGTGAAATACCGGGTCTACAATTTATGCGGCAGCGGTCGTGCTTGTATTGCGTGCTCGGCCGGCACACTGTTGGTGTGGGAGAGAGTATTGCGCGTTCTTCCGGTGGGTGACTGGCGAATCAGTTTCATTGCGTCTCTCGTCGTGGATTGACGTTGATAATATGGTGTATAGTATTAAGCAATGTGTGTTCTTAGTCGAAACATATGCCAAATATTCATCCTACGGAAGATGCCGCCGTAAATATCGCAGACTTTTCCCGGTGAAAGTGTTCCTAGCAGGCCCATGATACAGAGATTAGTAAAAAAATTTCGTAGTACGGGATCAGTTTTGGATAAAAAAAAGAACAGGAAACGACAATTCATTTCGGCAATACCCCAAGAAGAGCTTCGTCGAGTATTTAGAAACATGTTAACGAGATGTGAAGCTTGCTTGCAAGCACAAGGAAGTCACTTTGAACATCTTTTGTGATTTAAGGTAAGAACAATTAATGTAATAACATGTATTAGTGACGAGAAATATTCGCAGTTCGCTGTTACTAGCGGCACTGAAACTGATTCGCCGGTCACCCACCGGAAGAACGCGCACAACTCCCGCCCACATCAACAGAGCGCCGGCCGACCACGCAATGCAAGCACGACCGCAGCGTCATAAATTGTAGATCCGGTACTAGTGTTATCAAAGGGTTAGTATATAATAACTGGACTGTCTTTGGTGATCAAAATGCTTTAACTAAAGCAGAATTTAGTAAATTAACAAGAACTTTGTGTAGATTGGTAAAGCCAAAAGGGAACTTCGCTCCTTCTGGAACTAGCCTCTTTAAATGTTCGCTCCTTAGCTACTAATCCATTACAGGCCTGTATAAGAATAATATTTTCTATACGACAAGAAAACAGAGTTAATGTCGTCGTTTTCTTGCTTTGCTAGACCGGTAATCGGCGGTCAGGTGTGACCTGTGCCAACTGCAACACCAACACGACAACTTTATGGCGACGCAATAACAACGGAGAGCCGGTCTGCAACGCCTGCGGTCTGTACTTCAAACTCCACGGGGTACGTAGTTTAATTAATAACATTTTAATGATGGCATAGATAGAAAAATGCATGTTGATGTTTGTAATAATCCGTGCCAAAGCCGACTAGCTGGCTGCTGGCCTCACGTTCACATGCCTAAGCAGAGGTGAACGATCATCCAACCAGATATAGGCTGGCGTGTGGTCAGCACGACGAACCCCCAGCCATTGCTAGTTTTCATCACTGGATTACGCTACTCTTTGTACCTCCCCAATTTCCTCACGATGTTGGGTTGGCACCGGTCCCACACACCGGTCGAAAATCTCATGAGAAATTGCTTTCCCCGAGATTCGAACCAACCCGTATTCCATATCACCAGTCCGAAGCATGATGCCTCAGACCGCGCGGCTACGGCGCGGGACTGTTGATATTTGTAGCGATAGAAAATTAAGAATAAAAGGAGTACTGAGGATATACGCAGGAATTGTATTCTTGAGACGCTTTCTTCTTGATAAATCGATTGTTATGTTGGGCATAATTTATTGGTAGTTTATTTAGTTTGCGACTGAAGCTAAAATCGATGTTCCGGCATGAAATTATGTCTAGGCTGATCTCTCCATACGCAGCCTCCCGTACACAGTTCTCAGAAAACTCTCACACTCCATGAGATATCTGAAGAGTGCACTCAACCATGTTTCCTGCGCAGTCAAAATTCAGCGGCCTCCATGAAATAATAGGGCAGTATTTTCACATTATTCGGAAGAACAGGAAAGGAATGGAATGCCTTGCCACAGCCCGTACATTACCCGCTTACCCATAAAAACGTCGCTCTTAGGTTTTAAAGGTTAGTGCTTATGACGGAAATGGGTGACACCCTCCACACTTGTAAAAGAGGAAAAGTGATGACGTCACAGGTAAGGAAGTCCTGGTTTCTCTTTTTAGTCTCTCGTATCTGCAGTGTTGTGATAAAAGGTTATACGAGTTCAGCACCGTGCGCATTTTACCTTGGACTTGTTCCGCAAAAAAATTTGCAACAGTTTCTAAGGACGGGAAACGGCGACACCCATAGAAAACAAGAGACTCGTTCACTACGCCAATTCCTTCTGCATCACCTGTTAACTCAGGGCCTGTGTTAGTCTATTCATTATACTGTGTTGCGAGTTTCATGTTATGCTCACCGATTTACAAAGTATTCACATTTCAAAGATCACTGCTACAAATTATTTACTCTATGACTCATCCGTTTCCCGTCCTAAATCATGAAGAAGTTGTACTGAATTGATATCATTCATCATTAAACGGCAAATAAAGAAAGATAAAGTTTACAATGACAGTTCAAAGCGAAGGTAGTTCCCACACTGTTATACCAGGAGAGAAGACTGGGTTAAGAACAGAAAAAGTCGGTAAAACTGAAGCAGCGGAACGATATTTTTAAGAAATTTCTAGGTATATATCAGGAAGAAAAAAATTAATATAAAAAAAATAACACACTAAACAAGTTTTAGAAATTTTAAAAATGTATTATTACGTAGGAAAATGGTTAGCTCATTTGAGCAAATCTGACAGTGGAAAACTGTTGATATACGCACTTCACTACAAACCAAATGAGCTAGGGAGAAACCATTCAAAACGTGGCTGCAAAACATGATAGACATCAGGTTAATTCTTAGAGGACAGAAGAAAGTATCCCTTTGATAATTTTTCAGCGAACAGAAGAAACCATTCATAGATGAACAATCCGTATGTTGAGGTAAAAACAAGTAACAGTTTGTATGATTTGAGGTTTTCACAGCGGTGATTCATTTCCCTGATGACGGAGGCAGTGTGACCACTGAAACGTTGGTAAACATCTACCATACTACACAGCGCAACAACCCAGAAGACAGAAATCTTCAAGTAACAGTTTATGTATGATCAGATACAGCAATCTAGCATGTAAGACGTTAGATCACGACTGCAGCACACTGCCTTGCCACACAAATTTGTTAATCTGGTAGTTAAGCCTTGCACGCTTGATTCAATACTGTCTTTGTAAAATCTGTGTCCCTTAATGTACTTGTACGCTGACGATACTAGATTGAGATTTACTTAAACGTCTTAAGTGAGACAGGACTGTACCTCGTTAATTACAGCCCTAAGTGACTTAATCATTAATATTACATATTAATCAAACAAAACATCCGAAATTTGAACATTATCATTCCAATTATCGCCGTTAACTTTATTTGAAATAATGCACCAGATAAAAGAACATAATCACATATTACTCAAAATATATCTCTTGGGGATGGCACATTATCATAGTAACATAACACAGATTTTCAAACGATTGGTTATCGACCCGGTAATGCCAATGAAAACAGATTTGAAATCTTCAACACCTCCGGAAATATAATCGCTTATTTTCACCTCAACCGGATAAGTTAACAGAAAAACAGACAATATCAAAACTTTGGATAAGTTAAGAGACGCTGAGATATCTATGTGACCTTACAGGTATCTCGTAAGAAATCCTATCTTAACTTTTACTATAATTCTTGATTGGAAGATACGTCTGTTGTAGCCCGTATCTCATTGCACTAGGTACGTACATTTTACTTAATTCTACACAAAATACTATTTGTGAAAGGTGATTGTATTTCTAGGCTGTTATTTCACTTTTGCGTAGAAACATAGTACCGGGTCTCGCGTCTGGCATACGTAAACAATATACTCATACGCAATGCTTCTATTATTTAACAGTCGTTCTGGAAAGATCTTAACTAACCTCATTTCCTTTCAAATTATTTTAATTATATCGTTAAGTTAATAAGAATTGCAATATAAATAATTATACAAAATTTCCAGTACTACAGAATCCTAACGAGTTAAATATTTCAGACGTGAACTGAAATATATGTACTGAAGCTAGGTTTATAATCTTTAACGTGTAAAAAATACTTTACACAAAATTCATGTTCATAGCTATACAATGTTCCACAAGTTTAATAGATTTCGTTATGAAATTTAGAGGCAAATTAACATTTATTGCGGCCAATATATTGTTAATTTAAGTCCTGAAAAAAATAAATACCTCGTCACGTGATATGTATTTTTCCAAAGATCCATTATCAAACTAAATATTAGTGATATAAGTGGCGGTGTTGGTGCCACTTCCACGTCTGACGTTGGTACAGTCTTTATGTTAACATTATTGATGTAGCAAATTAAAGTGCACAAAGTAAACATTATTGATATTTAGTGACACGATGTTTAAACTACAATGCGTTAAGCCTGTCATTCCTTATTAAATACGATAAGTAAAAATATAAACCCACAACAACAACTTCATGAAAATTATAAATAACTTCTGCAGTATTAAACAATTGTTTTGTCTTAACCTGTCCCTAAAACCGGTATTATATTTGTAAGAATCCGGCACGACATTTTCAATGCACAATAGAATGTACAGTGTGTAATAGATCTTGAAGTTCAGCGCCATTACTATGCACGATATTGACGTAGTTGGGGAATATAGGAAGTGTGCTGGTTCAAAACTACCTTTGTGAAATATTCTAACAAAAAATAAGTTTTAAATATTATAGCCTCAATCAACCTCAATGGTAGCGTGATCTGAGGCTGCTCAGGACATGTCCTGTGTAGGTGGAGGCCTTGCGTCAGGCTATCACCGGTCCACGGGTTCCTGCCAAATGTGCAAACTAATTCACAAATTCAGAATTAATTCTGAATTGCAAGAAATCATGAGTCTAATCCGCAAGTATTCCTGATGATCGTAGTTTCAAACAACAAAGATTAGTTATAGAAAGTCCTGGTATCAGAGCCCTTTACAAAGTCATTTACCATAAGAGACACGAGTTTGAGTTTTCATCAGATGAGGATCAGACCTCTGAATCTCTACAAAATGTTGTAGAAAAATAACCCTAAGCAGTAAGCCTTATGTTTTGCCTTATAGGTTAACCGTCCGCTTAGTATGAAAAAAGAGGGTATTCAGACGCGCAAAAGAAAACCAAAGAACCCAGGACAAGGGAGCCAGGGATCACCAGCAGGGCCACTGTCTGGCGTCATCAAGACAGACGTGAAGCCCGGCATTCAACACGGTAAGTTCAGTTGCACAGATTTTTTTGACAACTTAACAGCAGGGCGCATGCCTATCATATGAAGTGCCTAGCAATGCAGCAAGAAAAACATTTCTCGCCTTCACTGTACTTTCAGAAAGAAAGTACTGTATGTCCATATTTATATACTATTCCAAGCACATATATCTGAAATTATATTATCCTGTCAAGGGATTAGAATTTTAGGAACTTGGGTAAATAATGAAAGAGGAAATTCGAGTGCTGAGTGGGCTTAAATTCTGGCTTTGAATCAGAGATGTAATGCCTTTGTTTCTTCGAAGGAACAAATTGCTAAAATTCCCTCTCTTTTGGGTTTCATTAGGAGTACCTTTTATTGGATTATCTTAAGGATGATACAAATATTTAATTACAACACAATTATTTTATCTGTCTGTAATTTGTATCAGGGATTCCAGAATTACTTTATAGAGAACGCTGAACGGAACTGTTTAAATCACGATTTTATACTAATTTTTGTCAACAAATTCAATGCTTTAGTTAAATAGTATACAATATTATATTTAAAAAGTCCACATGTGAATAAATTATACAACAAAAACGTTCTGGTATGGCTGTGGATACCAAACGTTTAAAATCAGAGACGGTTCTTAGCGAAGTTAATTAAAGGACTGAAGTACGTTTTGTATCTGTTGAATTGTTCAACTTAAAAGTACTTTCGAAAAACCTTTCTTAGAAAGCTTCCATTTGCAGTAGAGGAAGACACTTAAAGCAGCTCAGGAAACCACCTTATTTTAATTTTGACTACGTTCGCCACAGCCTATACAGATACGACTCGTAAAATAGATTCAGCGCCCTAATATGCCGCCTCAGAAGTTAGAAAGTGTCATTAAATAAACTAAGAAAAAACAAAAGATTTGTCGTAGACTATTTTAAGGTAATTTAGACAGTCGCCTCGAATAACTAAACAAACAAGTTAATTAAGAAACTGTATAAAACGAGAAGCTGAGAATAGGGAAAACTGGCGAACTCTTTTTGGGCAGAACAAGGTACCTGTCGTCAGACAGAACACTAAATAAATAATAAAATATGATTATGGCAAAGACGCCCAGAAGTAAAATCTTGCAACCGACACTGCTATGCTAACAACAAAGTGCCTGTACTTAAATTTGAAGAGCAATACACCTTTATGTTGCATTATACGATGAATCAGATTAAGTGGTTCGCTGTACAAGGACGAGTACACAAAGAAACAATCCAGGAAGTGCGTCACTAATCTTAGGTGTATTGTAAAATTGATTTTTCACGACAAGCTTAACAATGTTTCTACGTTATCACTCTGAAAGATACAATGACGTTAACGTAATGGTAATCAGCGTCTCGTGCGTATAATTTTGTCTAAGCCTTTATAAGACTGAAGCCCAAACTTGTGGCTGTATTCTTTCAGCCCTTCAGTATTATCTCATTATCGGCCACGACATTTAACACAACTACGTCAGTTTCAATGTTACAGTGAAACGTGACCTTCGAGAAGAAAATGAACTGTAACGCCACTGTGGCCATGTTTTATAACGCTCATTACTTGACGAGTTCAAAAATATATTTTTTAATAGTATACTTCCACATGTCATCAAACCGAAAAGAGAATCAGTGAATGTAGTCAAATGTCATTCAAACACGAAATCTTGCCAGAACATAAAGTACAATAGCTTGGAAGTCAGAGGAAGAGATAGAGACAAAGGTTTTTAAGAGATGATCTTAAGTCAATATCTGAACAAGGACAAGCCAGCAATTTTTAGAGCACCAGTTTCGTTCCGGCAGAGAAACAAACGTCAAGTTTTGAAGCGTGATGAACTGGAATGAAAACACTTCATAGGCTACACTTTGTCAGTTTCTGTTACAGAATAAGGTTTTAGTTTATTGACTCTGACGATACAAAAAAAAGTGTTTGTAGCTTATAACTCTCCAGAAGAAGTAGATCCAGAGGATAAGAGTGGCATATGTTATCATGTCGGGGTGCCAAAGATGAGATGGTACATATTGAAGTATAACTATCCCAAACAGGCGTAAGTTAAATTATTCCTATACCAGAGTATCAAGCATGGAATATAGGGGAAGTAAAAATAAAATTCCACACAATCTTAATCTCGGCGCTAGATGGAAGTGAGTGATCAGCTTGAAGTTCGGAACGTCTGCAAATTCAACTCTCAAAAACTCAGTGGTAACTATATGTAAAACCTACGCTTTAACAGCAAATCGTATTTGTGGGTTTCGTACGATTATCAGAATTACCATTTTCTTAAACAGCACGTGCAGATGTTTAAAACGCGTTGTACTTGTAAGTCAGATGCTGCAGCTGTGTGCGCAAATCTGAAGGCCATCCCCAAACTTGTAGAAATTTACCTTTATCTGGCTGGGGCTACACTTTCTATCCTTCTTTCAAGACTACTATGGACTGACTGGAATATTCGTAAACAAATTACTGAAAATTCAAGGCGGAAAACATCCTGTCTCTCTCTGTCTGTCTTTTAGCCCTAAGCAGAAAAAAGATGGCGTTCGGGAAATCAGCAAAGAAATACGATATTCTGTCATAAAGAGCAAGGATAAATTTATCAATTATGGCCAAGGAGCAAATATGCATCGGGGAGTGGGAGTATAACTCCACACATTCTTATCTCGGAAATATAATGAAGCAAATGTTCAGTCTCGCGTTTGGCAACCTTATCCCAGAGGCAAAAGCTCCTAGTACCCAAACGTGGAGAGAAATATAAAACCCCTGTTCTTGTCAGAAGTGATCTTACCTGAGACGGTTAAAGCTCAGGGGTTTCCAACCTAGCGAGAGCACGGTCCGCGGGGGGCAGAACTACTGGGAACAAATCCCGTGGGTAAAGACTCAAAGTGAGGCAAATTGAAGGGGGCAGAGCCTGGGAGGAAAGGACCACAACGTAAGGTGAGAGATCCCACCGGGGGCCTGAGACAGACTGACATGGACGATCCAGTAAGTTGTTCTTCGCTCAAGCTAGCGCGTGAAGAACCGAAAGAGGAGAAATTGTTTGTCACATGGGTTGGGACAGTGATGGAAATGATTGGTACTGTCCAATTTCAATGTGTCATCGTCCCAGATCGAGGCTCGATCTCATACTCTTTTCATATTCGAATTCAAATTGTGGGAGTAAGAACTATTTTAGCTATTCGTTTGAATCCCAAGATTACTAGAAGGAGAAGTGGAAAGATAAGAACACAGAGGCGAAGATAGAAGTAATGCTTACGAAGAAGAATATTTTCAATTAAAACTGCTTTGTTCTTAACTACTCAAAGCACAGTGGTGACATATCTACAACCTGCTTTAACATTAAATAGCTCTGCACTTTAACCGACATTGTATTTATGAGTTTCTTAAGACTCTCTGAATAAACAGCTTATTTGCATAAGCAGCGTTAATCAACTGATTGTAAGGGAGAAGACTTATGTTTTCCTTGAGGTAGGAATTAAAATTGTTAAATATTATATAGAGTATCTCTGTGTTTCGAGCAACAGGGATGCTTGCGATGAACTGTTCAGTCCAGTTAAGATATTTAGCGATCTGTCACAAAGAAACATGACTTAGACCACTTCAGAAGTACCAGATCAGTGAAACCGAATGTGACTAATAAAACACGTTGAGTAAAGATATCACGTAGGCATCGAATGAAGAGTTTTCTTATCTATCGCAAAGAACTCGAAGCCTACACCTGAGCAGAACTGAATAGTGGTCGTCCTCACCGTTCCGATGATCTCACAGTGTTTGCTCTACCTTGCTGATAACAGCGTCCATGTGTACAGACAGCTCATCAGCAACGCAACAGTACAGTTCAGTCACAACTTTAACACCGTCACCAATGTCAATGGGCGGCACAGAGAGTAGACCACACTAATAATTGACTTACTTCTTAGAAAATACTCAAGACTGATAGTTGCTCAGTTGGTTATGAAATAGTCTACCTCTTATGAAACCAGAATGTTTGTTACAGTGTTCACAAAAGCCCGTCACTGGCTCCATCACGGAGTCAGATAAACCCCGATCATATCCTCAGACCAAATGTATTTGATTCCTGTTACATTGCAGAGTGTTTCCATCTATGTCTAGTTTTCCGAAGTAGCATCCTTCCTTCAAGTTTCCGATAACAATTTTATACGTTTTCTTAACTGTCGCATGCAAACTATATGCCCCCCGTCCAGTTAATTGTTCTATACCTTAATAATGTTCGGTAAATAGCAGAAAATGTACAAATTGTGAAGCTCTACTTTTTTAAATTTTCTCCGTCCTCTCTTTGGCCCATACATTCTCGTCAGCACCCTGTCTTTAAACACCCTCAATAATATCTTATCTACCCTTACAGAGAGACACTACCAACTTTCGCATTCATATAAACAACAAATGAAATGATACTTCTATATTATTATTTATATTTTAGATAGGAGACCGGTAGATAAAAGTTTCTGAACTGAATGGTAGCAGATATTTCGGAATTTAATCTGCTCTTAGCTTTTTCGAGGATAATTTTGATATCTATCGTGTTTATATATATGTATGACGCGGGTTATATAATAAGTCGTATCGACACCAGCATAAATCTTTCAAAACCCTCCAGTTTTCATGATAATAACATAAATAAAACCTCCACGTTTGTAAGAAGATATAAAATATTTTTATTTTTTGTGTTTTTCTTATTCTTTTGAATGTTTCACGTGTGATGATATTTTGGTTGAAAGACAAAAGTAGGCCTAATGAACTCCGTTCATTCAAATACCATACCACATAATCCGTGTAGGTTAGAAGCGGTCTGTAACGTTTTTTAAATGCTAGCTTGTCATAAGTGAGTGACTGGTTTCTAGTGGAAAAACACAGATTGAGAGTATTTGAAAAGGAGGTGCTGAGTAGAATATTTGAACATAAGAGAGAAGAACAGAAAACTGCAAAAGCTGCATAATGAGGACCATCATAATTTGTACTTATTGCCAGATATTATTAAAGTGGCCACATCGAAGAACATGAGATAAACGGATCATGAGAAATGCAAAAAAAAAAACAGAGAACAGAACTTTGAGAGCTAAGCTTGCACGGGAGCATAATGGACCATGCCATGAAACTTGTGGTTTCAATAAAATGCCGGGAATTTAATGAGTCAGTTATCTGGTTATTCTTGCATAGCGTATAATATTCACTTTCTTTAGAAATTAGTTATCACATCATTTCGATTCTATACCAACTATAGCTTGGCACATTTCTAACTTGAATTCGGAATGTATCTAATTCGAGTCTCGGGTGTAGCATTGGGTAACTTTGACTCTTTTGTGTATGTTAATCAGTTCTTCGATGCAAATACCGAACAGACAGGTGGATCTACAGTAAATGCTCTAAGACTGCTTCTTACTGTAACCTTCAATAGGAACCAACAAAGCTTAACACATAGCTACATTTCTTATCTCTCATTTATTGTGTACCTGATCGATCCAAATTCCAAGAACTTCTTGTTTGTTAGTTTAATAAAAGGCATGAGATACTTCAATTCAAAAGCGTTATCTTTTCCTCCATCTGTGGGCATAATACACAGTACTTACGCAATAAGAACTATCATGCCTGTAGAATATGATGGACTCCGATCTGGGCGGTAACAAACATTTCCTAACTTCGTAGACACATAGCAGATTCCCAGACTAACTCTCGTGCTATTGGACGCAATTTCGTATCATTTAAATCAAGTCATCTCCACCCGTAGCGAGAAATACTGCTGTCTGTTGACGGCAGTGGACACTGGTACCAAATTAACACCAGACGATTGCATATTAGCAAATTTTGAAGCACTAAACCATGGGTTCTCAATACGTGGCTCGCAGACGTATTTTTTTTGTGGCCTACGTATATTTGTTTTGTAACTATGTCATCCTGTAACATTAAAAATTGTTATCTGATATACGAAAATACGCTTTGTTGATATCGTCAGTACATAGAAGTTCCTCTCGCTACGGGTAATGAAGTTTGATTAATAACTTCAATAACGTAATCAGAACTAGGATGTGTCTTACTGATCCGATTCACGTGGAGGAATGCATGCTGATCGCAACAGAAACTGAACATAATATTTAAAGATCTGAAGATGGAGATCGTATGTTTCTCCGAAACACGATGGCAAATACCGACGAGTCTACACGGCGCCAAAATCCAGAAGACAGCCATCTTCAAACACTACGCAGTCTGCCTATTCCGCTGAATCTGACGTAAACGTTACAGCCTGCCTCTTAGGCTAACCCGCTTGCCGTTATGCTGGAAAAGTTGTTGCACCACGAGAATACCACGGCCCTATAGAAGCTGATGGCAATACGCGCAACGATGATTGTGGTACGACACTGCAACTGCTAAATTCAACATAACATAAATGAATACTACGCACCTAACATGCACGAATAAACAGTAGCATCGGTTCAAAAAGTGGCTGAGAAATTGAAACAGGGCCGGTTTCAAACGGTGGTCGGCCTGGAAGTGCAGAATTCTTAATGCCAGTGGCTATAAGAGGCTAGTGACCGTCTATATCATAATTTTAATGATAACAGTACAGGGAAGTCAGACCTATTAGATTTTAAACTGGTACGTTTCTTAAGATTCCGCTAAAGAAGAAACCATATATTTAATTGGCAAACGTTTCGAAATTCATGCAGTTCTATTAGCCTATTTTTTTTGTTACAGAAGAAGTAAATAATCCGGTTATTATGAATAATAACCGTCTATTATGCAAAACTTACTGATTGTAAATTACAAAAAAATCGTCATTTATTTTTCATAATTGCCAGTTAATCACTATTGCCGTAACATGATCGATCGACCATGGTACTATAACGCTGTAAACTTTCGAATAAATTCCACACTCAAACTGTAGCCGACTAAAATTAGCCTCTGCTACCAAAACAGATATTTACATTATGATAAGTTTTGTATATTATACAAGAGGAAATTATTTTTAACAAGTTAGCTTAGTTTACTGGGTGTAAGAAATCTGTATATTTCAGGAGCTGCAAAATACAAGCACTTCACTGACTCCCAATATTTTAATCATCAAAGATTTAATCTACAGGTAACTGTCATTATACACGGGGTTCAGTTACTGTGAATTTCCGTATATATCGAAGACGCTTAAACCGGGAAACGTATAACAATTGCCATTTTGATATGAAACTGGCACCAGAATTGTTTACTGTGTTTGCTATTTGCATCACATTCCCTGAGAACCTAGAGACGTTTAGACGTAAGGATAGGCTTTAAAATTTAGGCGCGGATAGGAGATGGATGCTCCTCATGACACTAAAATAAAACTGTGGATAGTGAAAGTGCGTATAACGAAAGTCACCTATGTTCCATATCTCAGTTAGCAATACTGACTTCTTCCGTTCTGAAAAAGAATCGTAAGAAGGGAACAAGTTTTTTTGCCTAAAAAGGGACCGAAAAATAAATAAAAATAGCTTATCGTAGTACAGGCTATGAAACGCTCTTATGAATTAGAAACGTAGACACTACCATAAATTTCGAAATGAAAGCTGGCGAATAAATTATGATTATGTTACGTGGTCAAAACCATAAGATTCCTCGCTGAAATTGAACACAAACCAAAGCTTAGAAACATATCAATAAATTGTATAACTAGTAATTTACTTATTTATAGATTTCAGTTTCGCTCTGCTTTTCCATGCTTGGAAAAGAAATCGTATCCTGTTGCAAAATGTATGGATAGCCCTGCAGAATCCGTTATCAGTCGGAGTGTTTGTCTGAGCCAGCTCATCCCCTCCGTGTGGAAACCGTTAGGTTTTCACGTCAATCAGCAGTGCTTATCACTGTTCAAACTTTCCCAATACATCTCATGAAATTATATAGGCCTATACTGACTTCAGATAATAAATCTGCTACTTTTACGGTTCGACGGTGGGCCTTTATGATTACGGTGACGAACAGACCGGTTCATTATTCTTGCGAGCACGTTAGAGTAGCGGTAACTTGTGGATTTGTACTCTGGAAATACGGGTTTCAAATTTCAGCTGAGTTATCCACAATCTCAATTGAGTTTCCTCTTGGAGTTCCTCGGTCTTTCCAGGCAAATTCGTAGACAGTAGCGTGAAATAGATCACGATCGTGGCAGTGCACATCGTTAGGTACTCACCATCAACGACTCTACGCTGTTTAATGATTTCTACAGTTAAAACAGCATCTTTAATGGACAATGTTTGAAAACAATACATCTTAATATTGCTTTGTGTTGACGATTTCATGAAGACAGAAACAATAAAGAATGTCATTGCACACTTTATGGGCATTGATAAGTACCATAACGGGCAGATCAATTACAATTTTTATTCTTACACAATACTTATCAAAGCCAAAACAATATGTAGTCTTGAAATCAAATACATTCCACTAAAAACAAGAACCGCTCGGGAAATGAAGACGTTGGGTTTAAACTCAAACAGCATGTAAGTCATTTCGAAGAGTGTGCGAGTAAACTCAAGATGATGCGTGTTACTTGACAATTACCTTAACAACCTTTCGAGATATTAACTTTAAGTACATTTTTCGTCTTATTCTCGAAGCAGGCTTTCTGGCATAAACAAAATATCTCGGCAGTGTAAAGCGGATCTTAAGAAACCAGGCGTATATATCAAAGTACAACATAATTTCTTCCTTCCCAGTCCTCACCGGCTCTTCTATAATAATTAACCATCCAATGTCTGCAAAACCATGGCAAAAGAAGTCTGAGACATGAAATGAAGTCACGGTGGAGCTGACGATGAGATGATGGTGTTTTGGGAAGGCAGCAGCTCCATATCCCGTTTGTGTTGACAGTGGACAAACTGGAGCTGACGCACATGTATGGCAGTGGAACTGGGAGTCCCGATGTGAAGCCCCACCAGATGTTACTCCAGCAGCAGACGCACGGGTCTCTCCTAGGCGACGATCTGGGACCTCCAGGAGACCACTACGGCAGTCTGGGACCCGCGCCCTCCCAGTCCCCACTACTCCCCTCCACGAGCCTGCTCAACAGGCACATCTCTAAGTGAGTACAGTGGACAGTGAAGCTGTGTGCACTTCTGCCTCTCTTCTGCTGCTTGTTTCTGTACACTAAGCGACTACATCACGCCCGCAGTGAATTGTTAATACAGAAGACACTGGCTGTCCTACCTGACCGTGCCACTGTACCCTGCCTAAAAGACAAGCGAAAATAAGAAATCTCCGATGGAGGTAGGAGCTGGAAATATAGTTACAGCATAGCTGGTAGGAAAAATTCAGCATTAATTGCCATGATAACATTTTGTGTATTATAAATTTACGCTGTTGGGCCTTTCTGCCAAATCACTTCCCCTCGTGTTTGGTTACGCGCAGTTTGGCCTCGTAATACACAAAGAATCGGCGGTAGACTAAGAACCTATGTCTTTATGGTCAATAGCACTGCAGCAATAACATGACCGCCCTCAACTTCTCTCGCACGCAGCTATCAGCAGACTGACCTAATTGCCCTCTGATAGGTAAGTTACTAAAAGTGGAACATGAGCAGGTTTATTGCGCGGCTAAAACTCGCCGGCCTCGACAAAATATCTGGACCGTAGTTTACCTCATTTACGATATCATACCGAAAAAACGTTGTTGTGACATGAAAACTCAATCATGAAATCTCATATTAACTGCAACAGTGTCAATCAATCAAGGCAAATATTAAAAATACAAATATGAGTTATAACACGAAAAATGTAACAACAGATAGGCCTATTTTAAATTATAGCTTTTTCGACTGGCTGTTTCGCTGACATATTATATCAAGCAACATTTGTAGAAATAACATATGATTCTTATAACATTGGGACGATTCATTAAGATTTTTACTGGTTAAGATATCCTGAGGATTTCATCGAAGCTTTTTATCTGGCGTCGAATGAAATAACCAGAAAGTCATGAATGAGGTTAAATAAGGATTTGAAAGGAAGCGGCTGTGGTCTCTTGTCAGGAAATATCTCGACATTTGCCTGGAGAGAGTTGGGGGAACCATGGGGGAACCATAAGACATATCAATCAGGATAATCGATACCCAGCCGATATACACTGGGTAGACTTATCTGCCCACAGATGGTTAGCATACGAAAATTGTGAATTTGCAAAGAGAATATAACTGATTTAAACTGGGTCAAAGCTTTGTAGACCTATAACGCCAACTATGTGAACAACAGACAATTTATCTACAATAAAGAAAAGTCATGATCAATAAGACATGCGACATCTGAAAAATTCTTATAATCTATTTGACGTGTTATTCAGTGTTCTCTCTCCGTTAAGAATTTTAGGATCTGCGTATTTAATAGTAAGACAGTTGCAAATACTTCAGCTCACGATGTACGGTAAAGCACTGAATTGGCTGGAACCCTATGATGGCAGTTTTACGTGTGTTCTGATAAAGCGTTGAATGAGGCAGAGCAGTGATACGCAAATCGTGCCTCAAGTTCTGCGGGGTTTGCTAGGGGTCTGTGGAAAAATGTATGAAATTCAGAGTACCACTTTTAATGTTAATGTGAAAATCGGAGATTTCACCCTATCCGAAAGTGAACAATTTACGCTGGATTTCAGGCCAAAGGGCACAAATAGAGGAAACTTCTGATTTTTTACAATGAATCTCCAGTGTCACTTCATACCTGATCCTTTTACTCACAACGCCGTCTAACAGCTAAGCTTACTACTTATGTGGTCTGTGTGTTCCAGTGTACCACCGCTAGAGCCAATCCCCACGAGGCAGTCAGTTGACGTCTTGACAAGTGTCATCACTTCCACAGCGATCGTGAACAGTGAACAGCGAAACGACTGATCCAGTTACCCGAAAACAATCCTCTGTCTGGCCACGATCATAAAGCTTACATGCATTTGCCGACCAACGTTATCCAGTGAAAGTTGTCTAGAAATGGACAACGTATTTATCTCGCCCCTCCTGCAGAGACGAATATAGTTTTCTGCGTTACAAACTCGGTACTAAGAAGAATAACAGACAGAAAGTGTAATCAAAAGCTCGAATATTGGCTTTTATAATTTATCTGATCTCAGAAGATGATTTGGGAAAGTCTCGCTGATTTGTGGACAGGATAGGTCTCTACACGTGTTGACTTTCAGCAATGGATTCAGTAATAAGGAACATGACTTAAATGAAATCGAAATGTACTGATACAACTCAACCGGTTACTTATCCAAAGTTAAGACATTCGCTGATCAGCCACTAATTGCCAGTTTAAACCGGTAGGCCTATGAGGCGTGCCTACATTAACACAAGTGACTGCGATTCGAAAATAATTACGCTTAAGCCAAATGCGTATTAAAACCCATAAATATTCCTCAAAGTTTGCTCTAAGCTTTGTCAGGATTTTGTAGAAATTGTGCGACGTCTCTCAGGGAAGAAACGAAATATACTTCTGGATCCGTTACGATGATGTAAATCCCTGTTTACAATTGGAAATCTCGCTCTCTTGAGAGACATTTGTCGTCTTTGGCAGTGGATGTGTTAGTATATTATATATCTCTCTCAGAGAGAAACAGGACATTTCAGAGATTCGATACGAAATGTGGATGACAGGTGGAGTATGACAAGAAGGCATTATACGGTGTGATAGCCAAGTTCTGAGGGCGTCAAGAAGTACATTCCAGCTGTTGGGAAATCTACGTTTTTGGAGTTTGTCTCAGCTAACTACTACAGAGAATTCGCTTCTGAATACAATTTACTACCAACAACTAATCTGGCATACAAGCCCTTGGTCTAAGCCTCTTTCTCTGCCGATGACGTCAGCATGCGTTCACTCTTCATCGTCAAGTGTAGTTCTGTATTTTTCTAAAATTAAGCTACAAGAGTTTAATTTATGATTATGCATATATTTTATCGACATTTCAAAAAATATTATATGTGAGTACAATAATGTTAGTACGGTTTGTCATGACAAAACTACACGCAATAGTTAATTTTATTCATGTCCTTTAAATGTACATTTAAACAATTTTTATTTCTATAATGAAGTATCTTTATCATGCAGTAGATACAGACTAGCGTAGAGTATTAATCGTATACAGTAGATTCCGGTTAATTGGGCCATCGGTTAATCGGGGCAGTTGTTTATTTGGGACAGATCTTAAAGAACAAACCTTTTATAACGTCGCATACAGCCGCTTAATTGGGCCAAAGTGTTCTAGTCCCGATGTGTCCCAATTAACCGGAATTCACTGAACATAAAAATTGTATCCCTACTGGTTAAATTAATTCTGTTAACGAGTAATCTAGTCATCGTTGCCAAATCCATGTAAAAACAGGAAATAAATTACAAGTAATAGCAATAACATTTCGTACAATTATTATAAGAAACATAATATTAAGGCTTAATCGAATTCAGGATGGAAACTATTCGACATGACCATACGTACGTAAAATTTTAAATATGAAGAGGTCAGAGGGTCTATTAGATAGAAAAATAAAAAGATTCTTTAACGAAAATGCCTTTATCTTTGGTTTGTACGGCGTTTAGTGGGCAGCTGTTCAATTTCACCATCAGAACTGCCGATGAAGATGAGAATCTATGTGATGAACGAATATAGAATAATATCCCTGTTCGCACTTGGGTGGAGCCAGGGGTGGAGTCGACGTGAGATGGGGTGGAGTCTTGATATCCTGTGCTATTGTTCGACACCGGCTATCCTTCAGATAAAACCCGCCTTCTCTTCCATTCCGTCGTCTGACTCATCACATCTTCCTACGTGCCACAGCGTATGACAACTGGCTTTGACCATTGTCAGCATCCAGTTTTGTTGGATTTCGCCTGACGGAGCGAGTTACCACAGCAGAAGAAACAGGACTGTGTTCAAGAGCAGCGAGGGTCAGGGACCTGATGTCATTTTTGAGCGAACTTCAGTCGTGTAGAACTACAGAACGTACCGGAAAATTATCTATAAATGCTTCTTCTAACATCATATTAGCTAAAACCATGATGATCGTCTTCTGAGATGTTGCGTGTAGTCTGATAGAAATTGATGGACGTCTGAGAGTTGCTAACTGCCTCCATCATCGGGACATTACGACATCTCTCTGATGACGAAGGCAGTAAATACATCTGAAACGTTTGGTCAATATTAGTCAGACTACACGGCGCAACGTCCCAGAAAACAGTAATTTTCGTATTTGACGCCGTGAAAACCTGAAATCTCGTTCAGCATATCATGATTTAGACCATGGAGAAATAAATATATATTATTCAATAAAATATAATCCTAGAATCTTTTAAATTAATATCACAATTTCTACAACTCCAAAAATAATTATTACAGCGTGTCACTGCTTCTATTACCCGCTTTTTAATTCGATATTACGAAAAACAATACGCAGGCATAATTCCGGGAAACTCAAACTATCGAGGCCTACAATTTTTAGCAACTGTCGAGTGCTTAACTCAATTTACGCCCACAATTCTTGTAAACGCATTTATACCATTTTAAATTTCTAGATCGTACCAGAGAATACGCGAAGCTCGAGTTCTATGTTTAAGAGAATATCTGGGGCCACGTTAAACAGCAGGAGAATGGTAAAAATTGCCTCATTATCATAATTAATTCGTCTATGAAATCACGGACGATAAAAAGATATAGCACACATCTGCGGTTAAGAAACGAGTAGGCTACGACATTTCAGTCAGAAAGCCCGAAGGAAATAGTTCACATGGAAGACAGCGAAATGATCACTAAAGCGAATTTTTGAGCGAACAGGATGTGAGAGTTTAAACTGGATTCTTCTCTCTCAGATTATTGTTTGGTGACTTGCTTTTGTGAAAACGGTAATGGAACTATGATCCACAAAAATCAGAGAACATGCTGACTAACTGTGCGACTATGAGCTTCTCATGAACGATTCTACTCTGTGACTTTAGTTTATCTTAAACGTCTTTAAGTTCTTCCACTTAAACCTTGGGTCTCCTTCCTTGAAGACATGTCATTTCAAAATCTTTACTGTTAGACTGGCATTTCCCATATGAACTTTATGTGGTCATTTTCAGTATAGACGTACGAGTATGTGTTTTTGCTGGATAACAATAACTGCCCCCCTCCCACTTCACAACCGCTGTTGTTAGATAGAACATATGGTTATATAAAGGTGAGTAAAGTGATGGGTTCTCTGTGCGCTCGTTTTCGTCATCCACGGCGATGGAATAAAGTAACTTCTACCGGGGAAACGCAGTTAAGTGCTAAAGCAATTCCTCCAGCACTGTCACGGGAATAATAATAGTAAGAAAGGTATAGGATAACGAGTCTCAACTTAGAAACCATCTTCATCATAGACCCGACACTTCACTGGTCTCGGAATGCAGAAAGTTTAATTTAGTATCTTTTATTCCTTCTGACTCAAATTGTCTTTTCGCTGGCCTGACCTTTGCTGCATGGGTTTCATAAGGCCACGAGAAAATAGTGTATTTCTCCCAAGTTTACATCAACTCTTTCTTTATTTTCGAAAGTATCACTTACTGTTCTGCAGCGTAAGAAAATTCTTTTCTGTTCTTTATATAATAAAATTAGGAATATGATGGTTACGCCTTAATAAAACCAAACGAAGTAGCAAACAGCTACAGGTGCAACGCGTACTTCTGCCATCTGCTGACAAGGATAAGTACCTTACGCCTGTGTCGGTGGCTCAGAAGGCCATTGTTCCGACTTTCTTGTTCAGCCACAAAGGAATCACTTATTTTCCGATTTATTTAATCCTTTTCATGACCATGTATATTTGATGTACACAACATTTCTAAATTTGGCTCTGTGTCAGTCTTAAACATTCTGACAAACATTTTACTTTATAATAGCGTCGTGAAGTTTAAAATATTTGCATATAGGATCTGTACATTTACAGGAAATTATAGTTTGGCGTTGGATACTGATCGATGTACGGAAATATAAGAATCAAAATTAAAATTATTTTATTACTCTTTTACAAATTATAGTTGTATAAAGAGATTTGGCACAAAAGACACCAAAATTCCTGATAGTTCCGTTGTTAATTTGTGTAGCAATAAGATCCAGTCATTGCCAACTGATTTTTAAAAGCTTGCCGGAAAAGTTAAACGTTAACGATTAAAACAACTTCAAAATTATAAAAACGCTGTGTTGTAAGTTTAGGTTTATGATTGCCAAATAAACGAAACCATTACTTTGACGAACCACTCCGATACAGATCAGGGTTGCTTGCTTTTTCAGTCACAAATTCTGAACTTCAACATAAGCCATTACCTCCACAGCGCCAATACTAAGTAATAAGACATTAAAATATATTCCTAGATGCACACCGGTCCGTAGGGAGAAGCCAACCAGCCAGACAAGCGCTGGAGAACAGTGTTAACTGCTATGAGTTATTGATCTGTAGATGTGGTCTTTATGGTGAAGGCTGGGAGGACTTCAATTGTTCTGGAGCAAGACATGCACGAATTCCAACGCTGATCCATTAAGATTGTTAACCCTCGTGTTCGCGCCGTGTACTTTCTACACTGTAAAACTTGCGTTCTCTTATTTATAACCTTAATCCTTAAAAGATCAATAGTAACTACATGTCCCACCTGCTTCAGTAAACTCTTTATACTGTATTCATGGGTTCTGTATGATTCTCACAATAAACAGCTATCATTTTATTAAACATCATTAACCAGATAATCTTTGTAATGTGAAATATTGTGTTCCCTTCGCGGTACGGACTGACGAACCTGAGCC